TTGTTTGTTTCATTGTAATTTTTTTAATGTCTCTTTGGTATAGTATACTGTTCTTGTTTCATGAGTACAACACTGTTTTTCTGGGATTTTAATTAGAGTTTTTTCTTTTAAAGTTTTCTTCATGCATTGCCTTTATTTCCTCCAATATAAAAAGGAAATATATAAAAGTATATATTTTATATTTTTATAAATTTTTTCCTCCCTCCTATCTCTATCCCCTCCTTTCCCCTTCCCTCCTTTCCCTTTTCTTTTCCTTCCTCTTTTCCTTTTCCCTTTTCCTTTTCCTTCCTCTTTGACATTAATAGTGAAGACTCTTCAAATGTTTGGCAATCCTTGACTAACCATTTATATATGTAAGAGGTAAGCACTGTTAGGAAGTTGTGTGCATGCGTAGAGTTATTAGGCTTTTTTGCAGGGAGTTCAGGTGGCACATTGATTTTGTTTCATTAAGGAATCTATAAAAATCAGTTTTAGGCTTAATCAGCATCCTACAAAGGAATTTTCTAGTCTTTATCTTAGTATTTTGAGAACCAGGCTAGATGTTTCAAGACTCTGTAGTAAGACTTTTCTTATTCTTTCCTATGTTCATTACCCCTAGAGTGGCCTTGCAAAACCACTCTAGGCTGTAAATTCTTTGTTTAGTCAAGAAAGGGGGAGTTACCAAGCTGTGCTTTGCCAGGTCGGGTTTGGAACCTAATCATTCTGTCCATATTTTCATCCAGATCTTTGTTTTAGCTCTTGCTTTCATTCAGACATATTTCCAGGAGGGTTCTTTCCAGGTCTGGCAGCCCCAGTTGGCTTGCTGCAGCTCACCCCTGCTGCAGTTAGGGGTCAGCTCTTTCTGTTGGACAGAATTCATTATCATTTGTCCAGTTTCCAAAACTTGGTTGTCATCATTTGTTATTTCTTTTCTCTTTTCCCATTCTCTGTATCTTTATGCCTTTGGTAAAATTACTTAGTGTTGTTTTAATGAGCTCTGGGGAAAAAATAAGTACAAGGTGCATGAATTCCTTCTGTGCTAAAGGGGAAGGGTAAACCTTGGAAGTAGTTGAAGGAGAGATCCTATACAGAGGTTTGTGAACATTTCCACCAGGGGGCATGTCCTGTTGAAACTGTTGAAAGAA